AGACCCAGAGAGAGACGGGGCTAGTGAATGGGAGCAGCCAGAGACCAAGCTTTCCCACAGCAGAGTCAAAAGAGAGGTGAGAGGTAGGGGGTCAGAGAGTGGGGTTTAAGGGTGCCATGTCGGGGTGCCTGGGTGGCTCAGTGGGTTAAGCCTCTGCCTCTGATCTCAGGGTCCTGGGATCGAGCCCCGCATCGGGCTCTCTGCTCAGCGGGGAGCCTGCTTTCCCCTCTCTCTCTGCCTGCCTCTCTGCCTACTTGTGATCTCTGTCAAATAAATAAATAAAATCTTTAAAAAAAAAAAAGGGTGCCATGTCTACATGGGTCAGGGAAGTGGGCTGTACGCAAGTCTGGTATTAGAGTCACATACAGACTGCGTGAATGAAAAGAGATGATGAGGTCATAGGGGCACACGGTGGGGAGGGAATTTGCAAAGGGGAAAAAGTTGACAGGATGTTTTTTTAGAAGTCTGGGGGGTGGGGGTTGGTGCACGGTGGGAGGAGCAGCAGACAGGAAGCCACTGATGAATTCTGAGAAGAGGACTGATGTATATTATAGTAAGGAAAGGATGCTAAAGGAATCCTTGGTATGTCCCGCAGTGTGCAACTTGCTAAATTTGGTATGGGCCGAGCACCTCTAGTTCTCCAAAGACTTTCATCTCTACGTGGGCAAGTCCTGTAGCTCTCACAATGGGTTTGCTCAATAAATACATCCATCCATCAACAATTCAGTTACTATTAAAACATCTTTTGGTGCTTTTAAAATTCCTAGATCTCACGTAAGATTTAAAGACTTTTGGGGCTCCTGGGTGGCTCAGTGGGTTAAAGCCTCTGCCTTTGGCTCAGGTCATGGTCTCAGGGTCCTGGGATCGAGCCCTACATCGGGCTCTCTGCTGTCAGGGAGCCTGCTTCCTCCCTCTCTCTCTGCCTGCCTCTCTGCCTCCTTGTGATCTCTGTGTCAAATGAATAAATAAAAAATCTTTAAAAAAAAAAAAGACTATTTATTTAACAGAGAGAGAGAGATCACAAGCAGGCAGAGAGGCAGGCAGAGAGAGGGGGAAGTAGCCTCCTCCACGAGCAGAGAGCCGGATTCGGGACTCGATCCCAGGACCCTGAGATCATGACCTGAGCCTAAGGCAGAGGCTTAACCCACTGAGTCACCCAGGTGCCCCTCTCACCTAAGATTTAAAAAGGAGCGTGAGGGACTGGAGATGGAAGGCAACAAATCACTTCCAAGAGAAGACATAATTCAAAGCCGACATGTCACGGCGAAGAAGGGGGGATTCCTGAAGTCATACATGACAGTGTCCACTGGCCTCAAGACCCCCAATCATTTTTCCCTCCACGTAGCTCAAGAGAGTAAGAGGATTTTCAAAGTCCCCCTCAAAAGCATTTCATGGCACACACGTTGTTTGCCCACAACCGACCAGAACACAGGGAGCTGCGTTCCCGAATCCAGTTTTCTTATCTGTAGTATAAGCTCCGCCTGTATTCCCCGCCCCCACCTCAAAACGTTTAACAGTGCATTTGTTGTCAACCATACTTCAGTGAAAAAAAAAAAAAAAATGAATTTGTGGAATGGTAGCCTCGATACATAATTTAGAGTTTTAGGGTAGGAACCCAGGGTTCTTAATAGGGCAAAGCCACAGAAGCTGCTCAGGTATTAGAAATCAGAGATGCAAGGCTGGCTGAGCTCTGGCCAGGCCTGGGCCTGCACAAAATAGGCGGGGTCTCGGGGCCTCTCATCAAACACAGCTGGGCCTGCAGGCTGCAGTCCCTCTCCTGGCAGAAGGTGGCGGTGGAGATCTTAGAAGGGGAGGCTTCAGCCTGGGTGGCTCAGTCGGTTAAGCAGCTGCCTTTAGCTCAGGTCCTGATCCCAGGATGCTGGGATCCCCGCTCAGCGGGAAGCCTGCTTCTCCCTCTCGCACTCCCCTTGCTTGTGTTCCCTCTCTCATTGTGTCTCTCTGTGTCAAATAAATAAAATCTTAAAAAAAAGTGGGGCGGGGGGAGCCTTCCCTGGGCAAGCCACCGCCACTGAGGCGGAAGCCCTACCCCCATTGCAGGACCTACTTTGCTATGGGGAAGGGCTTGTGGACGGTTCTTCATGAATGCAGGTGGCCCAATTTACTGTTTCCCATCACAGAACCCGGGACTGAAGCCTCTTAAGACAAACGGAACAGAAAGTCCATAGGAAGCGGCAGCCTCCCCGGAACACCACCACCACCAAACCATGAAATGAAATCAGGCTAGGCTAGATGTGTGCTCACCAGAACTGCTGTGTTCATCAGTAAGAGCTTACATTCCACACTTCTCAAGATTATTCTGAATACAGAGCTGCGGAGAAGTGCAGAATGACTGGGGGTTTGGTTGCCCTCTGGTTATGTCTCCTGAAGCAGACAAACCAGATAATCTGGTTTAAAAAAAAAAATCTTATAGTGGCTGAATTATAAATCTCTTGGGTGAACAGAAGTCTGACTGTGCTACATTTATAGTGGGCAGAGTGACACAAGTTTTCAAAGATAATTCCTGACTCCAGGATTTTTACAATCGAATAATTATCTGGTTTTACTACCGGAGTGGCTCCAATTAAACAAATAACTGTCAAACGTGCTATACACTTTATTTTGCCGAGTTATAGCTGGGAAAAAAAAAAGAGAGAGAGAGAGAATCTATCTTGCAGGAATCCTGGAGATGAAATCGTTTTAAACTCCCAGGGGACAAAAAGAGCAGTCACACAGGACAGTTCAGGGAGGTGATGGCTGATTCTTTCTTTCTTTTAATAGTGGTTTAAAGTCACAAGTCCTGGAGCCAGATTGCTTTGGTTCAATTAATAGCTCCCCCACTTTTTAGCTGTGTGGCTTTCGACGAACCACTTAGCCTCTCTGTGCCACAATTTCCACATGTGAAAATGAGTACATAGTAACACCCACCTCATAGAGTTTTTGGAAGAGTTAAATATGATAATCCTGTATTATCACGGTAACTCTTAATATTATTTCTTATCCCTTTACCTCTGCATCATGTCCTCTACTTAAAATGACAAAATCTTCTCCTGAAATAGAGATAATAATAACTCTGTTATTAGAGAGAGGACAGGCTTTGTAAGTCAAGGACTGTAGATTTCTTCAGCCACTGGTTTATTTTACAGTCACCCCAAGGTGTCAATTTGGCATTTGGCCCATCGGAGAAATCAGTGTTTTTTTCTGGTGACAAAAAGCTAATAACATACACCAATCACAACCATATATTTACACCACCTGGCAGGATGATCAACACTGGTAAGAGCTCGCAAAGAGAAGGGTTTTTTCCCCCATGAATGCCAATCCCAATTTATTTCATCAGTTGCCATGACTTTTTCTCTCCATAAGAGTAAAATGAAACACGATGACATCACTGAATAAAAGTGATCCTAGACTTCGTCCCTTCTGTCACTTTCTAGATCAAGGTACTCAGTGTTGATTTCCACCATTTATGCTTTCCAATCATAAACATATGAACATATTTTCTCTTTGTTTTCTCCCTGCAAGGTGGTTATTATGAGACTAAAAATTCAGCAATAGGGATAGGCGGGGGAAAGAATCATTGTAGGCTCAAGACTCTCTAGGCCAATCAGTGTTCTAAATAAGGGACTGTGGAAATATGGGGTGAACCACTTCAAGAAGGGGAACTTTCCTGCCAGGTAGAAGGATTTGTTGCTGGTTCCATCCTAAAGTCAAAAGTATTAAGAATCTTCAGGATTATTCATTCCTCTGCTCTTTCCTATGGAGAAATCATGGAATAATAATAATAATAATAATGGAAAGCTAACAGTACAGAGATAACTGATACCTGTGTCTTCACATAGTTGTAACCTTTTCATGGGGAACCATAACTCATGCATTATAATAAAGACTTTCGACATCTTGATTTAGAGCTTTTCAACGCAATTTATAGCTTTTAAAGAGAAGATTTATCACCGAGGTTAGCCAGTGGCTATTAGCCAGAACTGAGTATTTACAACCTCACATTAAAAAAGGATGGGCCAGAAGCTACATAATTCAGAAAGGAAGCAAAGAGGCTCGCAGCTAGCACAAACCTGCAGGTTAGACAGGTAACACAAATTGTCAGTCGGAAAGCATAGCCACCTTGCCAACCGTCATTTTAATAACAGCATGTTTGTTTAAAAGCATTAGGTATCATGTCTATTCTAGAAGTCACACCCAGTGCACTACAATGTGCTTCTAAGTACAGCATGTCTGGAAGCTGCTTGCCTGGTCAGATGAGGGAGCCTTAACAAAATAAGGATATTCCGAGCAAGTTATAATCCTTTTGCCAAGAATACACAACAAGGGAGCCAAATGCACGGGAGAATAAGGTAGCATGACGTTCTGTAAACTACGGGGACAATAAGCTGGCTGGACACTTCAGACCCTCAGCCCATTCAAACACAAATGAAAGTATTTTCAAGAAATGGCAGATACTTATTTGTTCTTATTATCCAGTATCATTTAAGGATGTCAGAAGTCTCCACCATCGGCTGTGTAACAGCACTTGCGGCTTTTAATTTCTCCCACCAGAAATCTGGAAGGCAAACTGCTTCTCATACCAAATGCTTAAGGCAAAGGCTGAAAACTGCTGTTAAGAGCCAGTCCGAGACACTCAGCAGTTCTGATTCCTCCCTCATTAAGGCTCCGGGACAGCGGAGGCCAGGCCTGGGGGAGCCCCGGAGACTTGAACTCCCCTTCAAGCTAGACACCCTCCGAATTCCAGTGGCTCCCGCGGCTCCTTTAAGACGAATTCCCAAAACTTTCAGGGGAGATGGACCCGGGTCCGCCGTGAACTCCCGGAGTGGGGCTCAGAGACTGGGTGTCTGCTTGCCTGCTTGCATGCTAGCCTCGGTGACGGAGACCCATCTCTCCGGGGCACAGAAGTGGTGGTGGCGGTGGTGGTCCCTGCACAGGCGTTGTCACAGTGGGCAACACACGCACGCGCACGCGGAAACCTTACGGAAGAGGCGCCCGCTTACCTTATACTTCATCTCGGCGGCGGAGAGTTGAGCCGGTTTCCTACACTAGTGAGACGGCATGAAGCCCTGGAGAGTGCGGCCCTCCATGGAGTGCACTGCTAAATGAAAGTGAGAATGGCCCGGGCCGTGCGGCTCCACTAGTTGCAGCGCGCCGAGCTCCCGAGCAGCCTCTGAGCTCACTGTTTTGATTGAGACCGGCCGAGCGCAGACAGCATTTGCATACCGCTCGCCATTGGCTGGCGGGCCAAGGTAGCGCGGGGCTCCGCCCACCTCTTAACTTCGGAAAACCCACAAAGCAGCTTGTCCTGTGGTTATTTCTTTTTACACTAGCAGAAAGGGTGGAAAATGAAACAAAGTGGGGAACCCTCTCGAGCTTTACACCCCATTCTCCCCCTCCAAGAAAAAAAAAAAAAACACGGGAAAAGGAGATTCTTTTTCAGATTAACCTAACTTTGAAAGAAATCGAATTCACAGAGCAGTCTGACAGTCGTGCTTCCTGTGACCTAGCAACTCCTTCATAAACCCATTTCATCTCAAAGCCATTCACCTCCCAATCTCTACATGAAACGAATTCGGGGAACAAAAGGTTTTCTGTCTCCGGGTCCCTTTTTACTAACTACCCCTGCTGATATCGCTCTCTCTTTCTTTCTCCCCCCCTCCCCTTTTTTGTGGCTGTTTGCTTTTTTTGTTCTTTTCAATGTTCAAAGTCCTTGCGACCTCAGTCTGCAGAGGAACCAGAATACAATTCTCCCTCAGTGAAAAGGAGCTCCCCTAGCACAGGCACTCGGGCTTCCGTGGCCAGCTTCTCACCGGGGCCTCAGAGGGCTGAGTGTCAAGCGCATTCAGCGATCTCCTCTGGCTTTGTGGAGGATAAAGGTTAGATGTGACCTATCCCGAAGAGGCTGGCCAGTGCACGCCCTATACATCATCGCTGTCCACTGAGCACTGTGTCCTTTGATGGCTGGCATTTCTAGCCCCAGCTTTGAACACTGCAGTGTTTTCCTTCTGACCTCTCTCCTGAAGATGACCCATTAACCCACCAACACTTATTATCGGGGGAACAAAAAATGCCCACTGTTTGATGAGCCTGGTTAAGAAAGACCAGTCTGTCCAGTGAAGCACAGAACCTTTGGCTCAGCCTCATGATTTCTATAGAGAAAGAGATCACCCAGGAGAAGACAGAAAACAAGTCACCTTTAGCGACTCTGCAGCAGGATAGAGCTGATAGAGGGGAAAATTCCTTTTCACTGGGTCTCAGGATTGAGACTCGGTGATTGCAGACAATAGCTGTCCCTGAGTGGGATGGACTCCAACCAGACTACACGACTGGGATGGAAAAATCGGCTCGTATTTTTTTCCTGACCTAGTTGGATCAGAATCACTTTGATTCCCCTCCCCCACAAATTCCCAGTGGATTAAAATTTTACTTTTATGATCCAAACAAAAAAGAACAGGAGAGCAGCTGTCCTGCAAAAGTGGTTTCCAGATACAGGGCTCATAGTTTTAGATCAGTTTAATATGGCACCGATTCCCTGGATGTGAGCAGAAGCCCCCCCCCCCCCCCCCACCCCAGCGGTCTTAATGAGGTTGACACACCCGTTCGGGCCTCAGCTTGGACTTCGCTTTTCCTCATTTAGCCTTGGAGTGAAAATGAGCCTGAGTGATTTTGCAAGGTCTTTCTGAACACAAATCAAGCCTGTGGCATACTACACTGCGAAGGATCTTCCTGACAGTCCTACAGTCTTCTGGGCGAGTCATTAGTGTGCAGGAAATTGTTTCTGGTGTCTGCCTGGATCAGTCAAAGTCCTTCTCATCTGTAAGATGAGTCTTGTGGCCTCCAGAAGATCGAGATAACATTCCTTTGCCTTCCTAAGCGGTAAAGCTGAATCTTTTCGTTTGATGAGTACCATTGAGTAGGTGAACACTATCTCACTCCTTTTCAGGGCTTTCGAATGGTTCCCCAAAGCATTTGCTGGGGCTTTTTGTCATTTTGTTCTCTCGCTAGAAAGTTTAATTCCTGCTAAGTGGCCCTCTTGCTTTCCTGTTTCTCTCCTGTTGGGTAAGACACCTTAAATCTATATGAAGTTCATTTTAGGACAGTATGGGTTGGCGTTAGTTATCTTGGAGTCGGGTAAACTGTGTTAGAATCTCAACAAATTTTCTTAATGTCTTGATTTCGGTGCCCTGAAAATAAATTAGAGAAAATAATACTATCTACTTTCTGGAATTATGAGTATGAATTAGATAATATGCATGGGGGCACTTGGGTGGCTTAGTGGGTTAAACATCTGCCTTCGGTTCAGGTCATGATCCCAAGGTCGGTGGATCAAGGCCTACATCAGGCTCCTTGCTCAGCGGGAGTCTGCTTCTCCCTCTGCCCCTACTTGCGCTCTCTCTCTGTCTCTCTGACAAATAAACAAAATATTAAGAAAAAAATGAGATCATGTGCCTAGAAGTTAATAGTACCCAGTACATAGTAAGATCTTAATTAATGTTTGCTTATTAATATTTTGTTATTATTTCATCTTAAACTCATCACATATTATTTTATTGCTATATTGTAGAACATTATTATGCTATATAAATATATCAAAATTTATTTAATTATATTAATTACCACTGTTATGAATGTTAGACTGCTGTCAATATTTTAAGTATGATAAGCATTCAGTAAAAGGTAGAGAATGGCTTTCTAACTTAGCATAGCTCGACTGAGCACCTCCCAGCTACTGTTTCAGGTGGGGAAGTGATAGCAGCAGCCCAGACACACAAAGTCACTTCCCTCTTGGAGCTTACAGTCTACTGGGAGAGGAGGACAAGAAGTCAATGAAGATGTAATACAGTTTTGGAGTAATAAGTGCCATGAAGAAAAAGTAAGCGGGGTAAATTGCTAAAGGAAAACAGATGAGGGTTGGGTGGGGAGGCGTCTTCTTTTAGAGAGTGGTCAGGGAAGCTCCTCTAGAGAGGTAATATCGAAGCAGAAATCTGAATGGCATGAGGAATCCACTCAAAGATCTGGGGAAAGAACATTCCAGACAGAGGAAAGGGCGTGAGCTCGGTATGTTTAAGACCAGCATCCAAGCCAGTATACCTAGAGTCGGGGACCTGGGCTTCGGGTGGAGGAGACCCAGACAGGTGGGTGGTGGCAGCCGGACTCTCTCCTCAGCGCCAGAGGAAATCATCGACCTGATCTGAGCAGAGAATCATGTGATCTATTTCTCAGTGTTTTTACCCTTTGTGTAAACACTCAAGGGCAGCAGGCTGTTGGTTAAAATATTGAGCTGTGGTCTTAATGCAGCTTACATAATGCAGATAGCTGTTAGTTGAACAGCTACCCTGTGCTCACCAACACCCTGGCAGCCCTCAGCCCTGCCACTTGCCTGCTGGTCGGCCAAGGGCTCTATTTCCCCAGACGCTGATACAGGCAGGAGCAAAGGACATGGCACCAGGCACCGTCCAGATGATTTTCCAGCTGCCTCTGGACCCGGGTGTGGATATGGCAAGAAATCAAGAGGATGCCGGAGGGAAGAGATTCTCCTATGCACGACCTGGGAGGAACCCATGTGGCTGCTCTCTAAGAGTGAAGGGCAAGGTCAGAATGTGGGAGGTCAGGCAGTGAGCTCAGGAATCTAGAGCAGTCCCTCGGAAGGGGACGCAGCTACCCCGAAGCTGGGTGCCTTGCACAGGGTGCCGCGATGTTGGCTCATAACAGCAATCTCTACTTCAGGCCCATTCTCTGTCTCTCTCATCTGATCTTTTCCAGTCCTTCCTTTGTCATTTCCCGGCCTGCTTTCTCTCCCTGTTGGAATCTATCTTCCACATCGCTACCTGTTTAATTTCTAGAGTTCAGAGCGCCTCACATGACTACTGGGATTAAAAATCTCTAGGGATCCTTCAATGCCTTTAAAAGAAAAATCTGCCAACTTTGGCATAGACTATAATTTGACCCCCCCTTCCTTTCTGGCCTCATCCCCTCCCATCCCCCCAACCCCCATCCCACCCTCCAGCCAGACTGGGGGGACTCACCAATTCCAAGACACCCTTGTACTGTCCTGATTTCGCACAGATGGGTCCCTCTGCCTAGCGCGTCCTCCCTTCACACGTCTGCTATCAAGCCGAGCCCCAACACTACCCCTTTTGTGCTTCCTCGTCAACAACCCCCACTCTGCCCACCTCCTCCTTTCAGAACTAATTCCTCCCTCCGTTCACTATGTCCCCATTGTTCTTGGAACACGGCCCTCTTATAAGGCTTTTCCACATTGTACCATAATATTGGTTGAACTCTGTGGCCCCAGCTTCAAGGTGCGCTTCAGAGGGACAGAGTGGTATCTCGTTCATCTCTGTGTCCCCGGCAGGCTCATGCCTCACAGGGACTCATGTGTTTGCTGCATGAATGGACGAAGAAGAGGACAGAAGTAACTTCAAAGAATGTCTACTGTCTGGAAGTTCTGTGTGATACTCAGGAAGGGAATGGAGAAAACTTGAGTTTGAAGGCAGTAGTGTGGCTTATATGGATAAGAAATGGAGATAAGATGCAAATTTTCAGAACCAACTCAAGGCCTGTTTCTGGTTCTGGCTCTTGGACATGGTTTGGTCTGAAAACTATAGGTTGTGGGCCTCCTGTTTTTGTATGACCGATGAGCTAAGAATAGCTTTTACATTTTAAATGGTTGGAAAAAAATAAAAAGAATAATATTTTGGGAATTGTGAAAATTATGTGAAATTCACATTTCAGTGTCTATAAAAAAAGTTTTATTGGAATACAGGCATCCCTTCCTTTATAGGGTGTCTTCTGAGCTATAATGGCAGGCTTGGGTGGTTGTAAATTGCCCACCCCCCCAGTGTATTGTTTGGCCCTCCCCAGGAAATATTTGTCAACCCATAGTCTAGAATATTGCAAAATATATCTATCCCTGAGTTCAGACTCAAGTATAGATCCTTCCACATCGACAGAGAAGCGATCTAGAAATACCCCTTCTAGGGCCATGTGTTACCATTTCTAGTTTGAAAACAATCTACAAAAACCAAAATTATTGCAAAAAATAATCCAACACAGCAAGTTTTCCATTCTGCAAATCTCCTGAAACGTCCCTAAACAAGGACAAGCCACCAACCCCTGTCGTACTCAG